AAAAGTACCAAATTATAAAGAATGTATGAAAGTACTTTTTTGCAACAAGTACCAAATAACTAAGAAACTGCGAAAGTATGTATTAAATAAACTAGAACTTTTACATTTAATTCAGTTAAACCAAATGATTAAGAAAATACGAAAGTACTTTTTTACAAAAAGTACCAAAATGCCTTTCTTGTGGCATGTTTTTAATAATCTAGTGTTTTACATATAAAAATAGTATTTTCGTAATATTTACAATTAAAACACGAAAAAGTACTAAATGATTGCGAAAGTACTTTTCTGAAAAAAGTACTAAAGTAAATTTTCTGTAGTTTGTTTTTAATAATAGTATTTTCAATATATCCATATATTCTTCATGATTACTACAGATAAAGATGTAACAATAGTATATATTTGGTGCCTTTTCCAAAAAAGGTACTTTTTGATAATGTACCAAAAATAGTATCTTTATAGTATCTTTAAAGTTAACACATTTTCTATTCATTTAGAATATAGAGTAAATCTTAATAATTTTGTATTAAAAAAGTACTAAAATGTAAAGAAAGTGCTTTAGGATAAAAATACCAAGAGTAGGAATATAACCTATTTAGCAAAATGCTTCAATTTTATTAATATTAAAACAGTCAATTGACTATTCTATTGACTGACGAATGGTCTGGTCTATGGACTAATCTATGGTTAATTTGCAAGAAAAGTTATATAAATAAACTTAATATTTCTAAACTTAAATTCAAAAACAAGATTTTATTTAGCCTATTTTATAAAAGGTACCTCTTGAAAAAAGTACCTTTTTTCCACACAAAACAAAAAACAAACAACACTATTTAACATTTCAAAATAACATCTAGAATAAGAACAACACAAAACGCACACACAGCATCTGCGTATGGAGAATATTGTCTTAAAAACAACTTGAAAATCTCTCTCCCGTTAAATACACAAACTCACGAACATTCTCAAAAGTTAAATAATTTACAAGATATCAAAACAAGTAGAAAATCTAATAGATAACGGTGTTACAATTATAACACACCGGTATATTGTTTTGGGAAAAAAACACACAACCGGCAAGTAAAACTGTTATTTTGGATAAAAAGTGGGAGTGGGCGGAGTGATAACAACAAATATAAAGAGAGAGCGAGAGAGCAAAAAAAGGGTAAACAAAAAAACCGCCAAAATAAAAAAAACATACAAGATGTAAACAACACAATTTTTTGTGCACTTTCCACCAAAACATAAACATGGAGCTACCGAAAAAAATGACAAGGGTCATGGTTTTTTAAGAGTAAAATAAAATAAACTTAAAAGAGAGAGAAAGTTGCAATAAAGAGAAAACTAATATGAAAAAGTTTAGGATGAAAGTATGTAGAGTTTTAAGCTTTTTAAATGGTTAGGGAGAGAGATTCTAATATTTTGTAGAAAATTAATATTTTGTAGAAAGTTTTTAAAGAACTTAATTTAAAAGTCCTATTAAAAATGGTGCTAAAAATAGCTACGGTAAATTTGCAATTTAATACAACTTTTGATAGAGCTTTTTAAGCTTATAAGGTCTTTGAACAAAATGTAATAACTGTTAAGCTTTTTCTTATATTATGACATGAAGTAATATTTAGATAAACTTTGACATTTAAAAAAATTATAGTGAAAGCTTAACTTTTTGTTATGGGTCAGTTAAGCTTGTAAAATTTAAGAAATATGTGATGGAACTTTTCAAAGCTTCTTAAAGAAATAACAGTAATAAACTGGTTGGTACGTTCCTTCAAAGTAAATGTAGGTATTTTTAATTTTAATTAAATTAATATATAACAAACTATTTAACTGATTAACTAACTAACTAACTAACTAACTAACTAACTAACTAACTAACTAACTAACTAACTAACTAACTAACTAACTAACTAACTAACTAACTAACTAACTAACTAACTAACTAACTACTAACTAACTAACTAACTAACTAACTAACTAACTAACTAACTAACTAACTAACTAACTAACTAACTAACTAACTAACTAACTACTAACTAACTAACTAACTAACTAACTAACTAACTAACTAACTAACTAACTAACTAACTAACTAACTAACTAACTAACTAACTAACTAACTAACTAACTAACTACTAACTAACTAACTAACTAACTAACTAACTAACTAACTAACTAACTAACTAACTAACTAACTAACTAACTAACTAACTAACTAACTAACTAACTAACTAACTAACTAACTAACTAACTAACTAACTAACTAACTAACTAACTAACTACTAACTAACTAACTAACTAACTAACTACTAACTAACTAACTAACTAACTAACTAACTAACTAACTAACTAACTAACTAACTAACTAACTAACTAACTAACTAACTAACTAACTAACTAACTAACTAACTAACTAACTAACTAACTAACTAACTAACTAACTAACTAACTAACTAACTAACTAACTAACTAACTAACTAACTAACTAACTAACTAACTAACTAACTAACTAACTAACTAACTAACTAACTAACTAACTAACTAACTAACTAACTAACTAACTAACTAACTAACTAACTAACTAACTAACTAACTAACTACTAACTAACTAACTAACTAACTACTAACTAACTAACTAACTAACTAACTAACTAACTAACTACCTAACTAACTAACTAACTAACTAACTAACTAACTAACTGTTCTAGTTCAGTTCTAGTTGAATTCTAGTTTAGTTCTAGTTCAGTTCTAGTTAAGTTCTAGTTCAGTTCTAGTTCAGTTCTAGTTCAGTTCTAGTTCAGTTCTAGTTCAGTTCTAGTTCAGTTCTAGTTCAGTTCTAGTTCAGTTCTAGTTCAGTTCTAGTTCAGTTCTAGTTCAGTTCTAGTTCAGTTCTAGTTCAGTTCTAGTTCAGTTCTAGTTCAGTTCTAGTTCAGTTCTGGTTCAGTGATAGTTCAGTTCTAGTTCTAGTTCAGTTCTAGTTTAGTTCTAGTTCAGTTCTAGTTCAGTTCTAGTTCAGTTCTAGTTCAGTTCTAGTTCAGTTCTAGTTCAGTTCTAGTTCAGTTCTAGTTCAGTTCTAGTTCAGTTCTAGTTCAGTTCTAGTTCAGTTCTATTTCAGTTCTAGTTCAGTTCTAGTTCAGTTCTAGTTCAGTTCTAGTTCAGTTCTTGTTCAGTTCTAGTTCAGTTCTAGTTCAGTTCTAGTTCAGTTCTAGTTCAGTTCTAGTTCAGTTCTAGTTCAGTTCTAGTTCAGTTCTAGTTCAGTTCTAGTTCAGTTCTAGTTCAGTTCTAGTTCAGTTCTAGATCAGTTCTACATCAGTTCTAGTTCAGTTCTAGTTCAGTTTTAGTCCACTTCTAGCTTAGTTCTACTTCAGCTCTAGTTCAGTGCTAACTAACTAATTAGCTAACAAAATTTAATAATAATTGTAAAGTTTAGTACTTTTGACAAAAAAGAACCTTTTTGATTTTTAATTTCATATTTACTGGTGGATTTTTTGGAACAAAATTTAGAAATGAATTTGTATTAAAAAATACCAACAAAAACAAATTTATTTTAAAAATAGTTCACTCTCTTGTAGCATTTAACCCTTGACATGTGTGAAGACCATTAAAAAATGTTAAAAGAAAATTAACTGTCTATTTTACAAAGATAATTTTACAATAAGGGTCATCTATACTAAATAAATCAATTAAATTTCAAAATTTTTACCAATAATAAAAAAATAAATAAATTTTAAAGTTGATTGAACTTAAATTTATTTGTTTGTTCCTTAAAAAAAGAACTCTTTAAAAAATTTAAAGTAATACTTTTAATAAAAATTTAAAATGAAAACCATATGCGGGTGAGTTGCGACTGTTATTGATTAATTTTATTGTTCTTAACAAATTATCTATTGATCTATAAATAATTTGGTTCAATATAAAAAAAACAAAACTGTAAATTACACTTAAATCTTTGTGCTGTTTTCTATTTTCCCTATTTTTCTGTTAAAATGCAATTAAAAACAAAGATTACTTTAAGTAATCGTTTCTGATAGACAAGACAAAAATGCAAAATTCTTTTTCTATAGGAAAATTGTTTGTAGATGAAGCCACCAACAGCTCTGCTTATAAAGACGACTTTATCATCATTATTATCCTCTACCATATTTTCAAGTGGTTGTAAATGCTTTAAAATATATGTATACAAGAAGTATACAAGTGGACTAACTTGTATATGAAATTTCATTGATATCTCAAATGTTTATGAATATGTACGAGGCAGTCAATAGCAAATCTATTTCAAAGAGTTTTTGTTTTATGCATATGCTACATATCGGTTACACATGCAACATCATCATCTTCTTCATTATGATGCGTCGTTTGTTTAGTTTTAATAATTTTCATGCAAAATATGCGTATCATTGGGGGAAAATAGTACAACAGCACCCACAATACATAAATTAATACTAGAGGCTAAACGATTAGAGGCAGCAAAGTTATTTAAATTTTCGAAATATTTCCTAACGAAAGCAAATTTTCAGAAATAATTCCTAAAAACAAATTTTTGAAAAATTTCCTTGACAATTTTACTAAAACCACATTTTAACCATAAAATTTTTTCAGATTGAACCCTTAAACAAATTTCGTTGAGTGTTTTCATAAATTTCAAAAGTTCTTTTTATCTAGAACTCTTAAACAAAGTTTAATTGGTTTGATAAATTTGAAATCAATGCATTAATGTATGGAAAACATTGTAAATATAATAGAGACAAACAAATATACGAATTGTAATTCCTTTTGCAGCCAAAAGTTTAAATAAAATTGAAGACAAAATGGGGAAGCAAACACAAAAAAGCTAAAGGGTTTGAGAAGAAACTTGTTTTAACAAAATTTATATAAAGATTTTTTGAAATTCTTCTAGAAAACGTAGAGAAAATATCTTCTTAATAAGAAATAATTGAAAATGTTTACGAAAATTGTCAGCTTTTTTAATAAAAATTAAATTATAAAAAGAATTAATCTCCACTTACCTTAAACATTAATGGATTACGTTCAATTTCAGCTTCAGCACTTTCACATAATGATTCCGATTCGGAGAGGAAAGCTAAAAATTGATCCATGGCACGATCAAACGATTGTAAACTATGAACAGCGGCATGCAATTGTTTGCCACGATTAATGACACCATTATTTAAGTTGGAATATCTGGAGAAAATAAGAAAAATTTGTATAATTTAAATTTGTTTTATTATTAATATATTATTAATCTTACCTTTGATTTATGGCTTCGGTCATTTTCTTTATACGGGTGGTGTCATCAGCCGGATAAACGGCTATGAGTTTCTGGGTCAACTGATTGAAGATTTCGAATTGCGGTTTATTTTGATGGAGTTCAGCATGGAAGGACTGAAAGAAAAGAAACAGTTTTTTAGAAAGTCATTAAAATAGAAGAAAAATTCCAATTAACAATCTTGCTTTTAAGCAAATATCTTTAAAACTTATTTATCTTATCCACACACCTTATCGTTTCCCACATTTTCAATTTTCTAAACCACATTTTAAATATTAGTTAAATACAAACTAAACTTTCCCTAGCTAAACAGACCACTCTTTAATTCTTCCATCTTTAACTTTCCAATTTCTTATTAGAATAGCAACGATAACAAGCCTAACTTAATAATCATGAGAAACACATCTCTAACTTGCCGCCATTTAATAAAGCAAAAAAATCCATCATAAAAGAAACCAAAAACTTTACACTTAATTTTTGCCAAAACTATTAAACTTTATGGAAAACTTTTAAAACCCACAGCACCCACAAACATTTATTTAATTAATTACAATGTTTTTTCTCAAAACTAAACTCTATTTAATATTTTAATTCGCAATATAACAGGAGCTTTCAATTGCAACCGACTAGACACGAACCACAGGGTATACAGAGGCGTCACGAGCAAAAAACTATTTCCCTCTCTTTCGCACAAAACGAATTCATGAATTTTTTTTAGCTGTATTTTATATACCTCTTCTAACCAAACAAAAACTGATTTTAGACTTTTTTAAATGTCAAAAGTGACACCTCTGTATACTTTATGCACGAACTAAATGAAAGAAAAACTAAAATAAACGAAAGTGTCAAACAAAAGAGTACAGAGTTGCATATAAAAGGTAGTTAAAGTGTGAACTAGTGAAGTTAGTAAATTGTAAAGTGCAAAAATGTAACGAATTATTGGTTATTCAAATATTTAACATAATGTACTGAAAATTAAAAAATATCGCATTTAGCAGCTAATTTCGTATATACTTAATGAACAATTTTTTAATAGAACGAATATGCAGAGTTGCATATAAAAGGTAGTTAAAGTGTGAACTAGTGAAGGTATTAAATTGTAAAGTGCAAAAATGTAACGATATATTGTTTATTCAAATATTTAAGAAAGTGGATCTTTAATGAATTTAGAGGGTTTATTGTAAATTTAAAAAATATCTCTTCTAGCAGCTAATTTCGTATATACTTAATTAAAGTCTTTTGATGAACGAATTTGTAAATAGACTCAAGTAAATTTTATTAATATAATTAAGCTAATGATAATTCTTCAACCGTTGCAGCAAACTTTTCCCAATTTTAACTATTTCGAACGAATATGCTAAAAGTCAACATTGTCAGAGTTGCATTAAGTAGGAGTTTAGAGATGATAGAAAGTATTGGAAATTATTTTTAGGGTGGTTGACTTAGCTAACCGCATATTTCATGTTCAGAAAATATAACATCGGAAAATTTAGGGAATTGTTTGCAAACCTATTATTTAGTGTCAAAAATATGTCTATAAAAATGTCAAGTTTTTTAAAGCAAAAGTTTCTAAAAGTTAAACATTTTTGATCCCATCGTCATAACAATCTGTATTCTAACAAGATTTAATATCGAAAATCAAAACTTTGGAAATTATGTTTTTCTTTTCTGTTCGTTCACATACCTTTTGTTCCTTTTGCTGAGCCTCCAAAATATCAGCAGTGGTGGCAACGGTACCCATACGTTCAGCTCTAGCTTCCATACGTTGTAACCATTTCTCAAGCTCCAAACGTTTAGCTTCATATCTGAAGGGAAAGAGGAAAAAATGAAAATGTTTCTTTCTTGAAATCAAATAAAGCTGTAAAGATAGTACCCAAACTAAATTTCGGACGAAAAAATGTAACAATAATTTAAAGATCAGTTCAGTTTTAGTTTAGTTCTAGTTCAGTTCTAGTTCAGTTCTAGTTCAGTTCTAGTTCAGTTCTAGTTCAGTTCTAGTTCAGTTCTAGTTCAGTTCTAGTTCAGTTCTAGTTCAGTTCTAGTTCAGTTCTAGTTCAGTTCTAGTTCAGTTCTAGTTCTGTTCTAGTTCAGTTCTAGTTCAGTTCTAGTTCAGTTCTAGTTCAGTTCTAGTTCAGTTCTAGTTCAGTTCTAGTTCAGTTCTAGCTCTGTTCTAGTTCTGTTCTAGTTCTGTTCTAGTTTTGTTCTAGTTATGTTCTAGTTCTATTCTAATTCTATTATAGTTCTGTTCTAGTTCTTTTCTTGTCCTGTTCTAGTGTTGTTCTGGTTTGGTTCTAGTTCTATTCTGGTTAAATTCCATTTCAGTTCTAGTTTAGTTCCAGTTCATTTTATGTTTAGTTCTGTTCCAAAACTAGTTCAAGGTTTAAAATTAGTTGGAATTTTAAAAAAGTTCCCATTACTTAACTTTTCTCTTTACAACTTTATTTTTTTAAAAAGATCACTCTCCACTTACCTTTGTGAATCACTGAGCATATTTTTCAGCTGAGCCGCTCTTTGAAGAACACATTGTGAGGTCTCATCCCAGTGCTCTCTTAAACGAGTAACTGTAAATTTTATTTAAAAAAACAAATTAGATGATAACAAAATAATTAAGAAAAACTTAAACAATGAACCAATAATTTTGACAATAGATTAATTTTAAACAAATAACCATTAATAAAAGTGCTTAATACAGGGTTTGAATTTATTTTTTTGTTTAATTTGCTTTATAAAACACACACACACATTAATGGAGCACCCTGTTGAAAAAAAATATTTAGAATAATAATTATTTTTTTAAGGTTATAAATTTAATTTTCGCACATTTATAATAAAACTCCGTGAGAGGTGAAATCAAAGGATTAACGTGTTGAGTAAAAAGGCCCATGCTGAATTAGTATAATAATGAGTGAATTAATTTGAAATAGATATTTTTTTCTTTAATTTAGAGGTTAGAGTTGGCTTTGACCCATTTTTTGTCTTAGTTTTAAGATTTGTTTATGGGTTGTTTGTTTGGTTTTTTAGGTGACGGAGCTTAAAAGGTTAAATTTTATTTTCATTTTGCAACACCGAACTTATATTAGATTTATTTTTTTTAGATTTTAAGGTTATAAAATTATTTATGGGGTTAAATGGTGATTGACTTTAGTTTGTTTTCTTATTTGCTGTAAGTCTTTACCTTTCAAACAACAACGCATATAGTCCAAATCGGCTGAACAATGCGGTGCTAAAGAAAATTGTTTCAATTCTAATATAGAAAGAAGGAAGAGATTATTATAGAATTTTTTGTTTAAAGAAATATTTCTTAAAAAAATTAGAGACAATAGAATACATGCTTAAATATAGACAGTAAAATTTTGGAAAAATTGGAGAATGTAAAATGGGGGGTGGTGGTGCAAAGGGATATTTCAAATTCGTGTTATGATGTTACGAAGTAAAATTGTGAATGGTTTTAAAAATAGTCTTAAGGGTTATGAGGGCAATGATGTCCCATTTAATAGATTCAAAACGAAAATTCATTCAGAAATTTTCTGTAAAAGTTAATCAAGATCATTTTGATAACTTTTTCCAGAAAATTTCTATACGATTTTTCTTTGGGATTTATTCAGAGGTCTTCGGGTGTTGTTCCAAATAACTGAAATTTTAAATTTTCTTTTCATGCATGGTTTAGGGTCTAATTTATAAGTTTGTAGTCAAATTATAGTTCGATTTTTGGCGATTTTTCGGTGAAATACCAATTTTTTCGGTATATCAATTTTTCGGTTGAAATATATGTTTTTACTTTTTGGTGAAAATCTTACTTTTCGGTAAATTATTGAGCTTCCAGTGAAATATCGATTTCTTTTTCGGTGAAATATCGATTTTATTGTAATATATAGATTGTTTGGTGAAATGCCGTTTTTTGGTGAGATATAGATATTTCGTTTCATTATCGATTTTTCGGTGAAATTAAATTTTTTTGGTGAAAATTACGATTTCATTTAAATATTTTTTTTTTTATTAAATTTTTCGGTGAATTATCGAGCTTTTAGTGAAATATTGTTTTTTTGGTGAAATACCGATTTATCGGTGAAATATCGATTTTTTGGTGAATTTGGGCACCAATGAAGTTTCATTTAATAGATTCGAAACGAAAATTCATTTAGAAAATTCCTGTAAAAGTTAATCAAGATTATTTTGATAATTTTTTGTCGAATTTTCGGCGATTTTTCGGTGAAATACCAATTTTTTCCGTATATCAATTTTCCGGTTGAAATATATGTTTTTACTTTTTGGTGAAATTCCCACTTTTCTGTGAATTATTGAGCTTCCAGTGAAATATCGATTTCTTAGTAAAATATGGATTTTTCGGTGAAATATCGATTTTATTGTAATATATAGATTGTTTGGTGAAATACTGTTTTTCTGGTGAAATATAGATATTTCGTTTCATTAACGATTTTTCGGTGAAATTAGATTTTTTGGTGATATTTTGGTAAAATTACGATTTCATTGAAAATTTTTTTTAATTAAATTTTTCGGTGAATTATCGAGTTTTTAGTGAAATATCGATTTTTTTTGTGAAAACCGATTTATCGGTGAAATATTGATTTTTCGGTGAATTTATAGAGATTTCGTTGAATTTTGAATTGTTTCGGTAAATTTTTCACTTAGTGAAATATTGTTCTTTCAGTGAGTTTTTGGTGAATAATGTTTTTATTTGGGAAATTACTAATTTTTCGACAAATTATCGAGTTTTTAGTCAAGTATCGATTTTTCACTCAAATATTAAATTTTTAGCGAAATATCGATTTTTCGGGGAATTATCAAGTTTTCGATGAAATAACAACATTTTAGTGACATATTTTCAAGCTGTCTGTGCCTCAAAGCAGGTTTTCTATCTGATCAGATCAGACAAAGACGTCATATATAGATATGATAAAATAATGTTTGATTACTGTTTGATACAACTGATTACTGTTTGATACAACTTACTTAAGTTGAACTTAGGTATGAAACGACTAATTCAATCTAAAACTTCTGTTTGATGCAACAGACTTAAACTTAATGTTTAATACAACTTCGAAGCAACTACTTTATTTAAAAAATCAAGTTTGATGCAACTGACTTAAGTTAAATTCATGTTTGATATCAAATATATAACAATAAATTCAAATTTCAAATGTTTGATTCAAGTTTGAAGCATTTTTCATTAAAATTACACTCATGTTTGAAGCAACTTTTTGTAGTAATCAAATAAATAAAGATGTATGAAACAACTGAAAAAGGTTTGAAGCTTTTACAGGAAAATGAAATCAAAAATAAATAAATTAAAACAATTTAAATTGATAAAAGAAAAACTTTATTTAAAAAAAAAATATAAATTTAAGAACTTAAACTCTGTTACCCGGTATAGCAGGAGCCTGAGACATTTGTGTCTCATCGTGTGAGGAACGTCGACGCATGCGCATTTCTTCGCGGCTTAAAGCAGCTGTTACAGTATTCGGTACACCACCTACCACACCACCAGCCTGGGCGGCAGCTACAGCAGCAGCGGCGGCTCTCGATTGAGCCTGATGTTGTAGTAAGGCAGCAGCAGCAGCTGAACCAGGACTCTGGCCTGTGTTGTGTACCACAGTGCCGGGAATGTTGCCCAACAATTGTTGACGAATATGTTCTCTAAATTCTGAACTAAGAGGCATAGGTCCTGAGGAGGCCGGTACCACAATGGGAGCTGTAACCGAAGCTGAGGCTGATGAAGGTGGTGGTGGTGCTGCAGCAGCTACTGCGGAAGGGGCGGCGGCGGCGGCAGCCGATGGCATATGCTGACGATGACGACTGTATTGCAGTTCAAGAGGTAAGTTACGATCTAAAGAACGCATATGATGTTCTATGGTAGAACGCATGGCTTGCTGTTGCGATTGTTCCAATTGACTTAGATTATTGGTGGAGGAGTTCTGTAACGCCTGAGCTCTTAATTGTTTAATTTCTTCTATGGATTGTCTGGCAGCGGCAGCAGCACTTTGGGCTGCTACAGCATTTTCATCCAAAGACAGATTACGCTCATAGGCAGCTGCCCTCATATTGACGGCGGAAATATGACGTTGTCCACTACTAAGGGCGGCCTTAAATTGCATATCAAAATTACTTTGAGCAGCCTCGAAAGAGCGTAGATTCATTTGCTCCTGCATGGCTCTTTCCATATTGCGTATGCCACTTTCTATGCCGCGCAAAGCATCTTCCGAACCAAAATCATCAGTGGGAGAAAGACGTGAAGAAGAAGATGTATTAGAAGAGGAAGCAGTAGAGGATTTCTTCAAATCACTGGCCCTAGTGGGGGCTGGAGAGGGTACATTTTTGTCCAGAGGCATGTCGAAGGGATTTGAGGATCTTTTGATCTCCGGTTTCTCGGGCGGCACTGGAGGCTTATCCTTAAATTTGGCCACCGCTAGAGGAGAATTTTGTGCGCTATTTTGTGTGGAACTTTGGGCCGAACTTTGAGCCGACATGGGCTTTTTGGGCAAAGGCGGCGGCTGCCTGCCGGGTGGAGGCAAATTAAAACCATCTGGCAAACTTTTTAAACTATGACGTTTAGGTGGTATCTCTGGTGGTGGGGCCCTATCAGCCGAACGGGCCGGTATAGCAGGAACTGGTTTATTATGCTGAGGCGGCAAGGGAGGAGGCTGGGCACCATGAGGCTTGGGAGGCAGCTGCATAACCGGTTTACTATGATTGCCAGTGTGATGCTGCTGCTCCTCTTGTGAGGCCTGTTTGCGCAGCAACTGTTGTGCTCTTAAAGCAGCTTGTGCGGCTAATTCCGAATTTAAACGTGGTATTTCAGGTGCCATTTTAGGCATATCACTTTCACTGGGCTTGGCAGTCATTTTGTATAATATACTTTTGGGGTTTAGATGATGTGCGTTGGAAATTTATTTTCTATTAATTTTTTTTAATTATTTAGTAGAAAATTCACAGTTATTTATTGATATGATTGTTGGTGTTGTTGTAAAACATATTTTAGGGAGTTGTTTTTTATTTAACAAATTTTAAAGCATATTTTTACGAATTTTATTTTGTAAAACACCTAAAAAAGTGTTTTTTCATGGTAAAAAATTGGAATTTTCAATGCCTGTTTGAAAAGAAAATGTTGTTAATAATTGCTGCCTAATTTAGGGTTTAATTATTTTATTATATAATTTATTTTTATGAGTGCCTTTCACAACGATTATCACTTTATTTGTGTACACAAATTTCGCGTTATTGTTACCACTAGTTGTTAATCTTTTCGTTCTTTTTTTTGGGTAATTCGCACATTATATTTTGTGGCGTTTTAAGTTGAACATTTTGTATTGCCTGCTTTTTGGCAATTTATCAACAAAATTTACATGTTTGAGTATAACTTCATATGTGGTTTTTGTTATTGTTAGTAATTTTTAATTGCGGTATACACTTTTGTTTTAGGTTTAGGTTTTTTTCTGCAGCATACTTTTAGCTGTTGTTTTTGCACAACGAAATTATGAATTTATTATTTTTTTAGTTGTTTATTTATTATCATTAATAATTTGTTTAATGTTGGAGAAACTATAATCGATTTGTTTGACATTTAAGTTGCATTAAATTTAAAGTCTACTTTTAGGAGTTATTTAAAGTTTACTCAAAGCATACTTTAAGGCTTATTTTTTCTTTCCTATTTTTATTAAAATAAAAGTTTTCGTTTAATTTGTTCTAAGCATTTTTTTGCTAATTTTAATTTTATTCCTGTTTAAAAATTATAAAGCATACTTTTAGGTGTTTTACTGCTATACTATTCCATATATAATATTCCCATTTCTTAGTCTTATTCTATACTAGAAATTGTGTTTACCTTATGTTGCCTTTTCTATTTATTTTCTCATTTTCTTGGAATTTTTTTTGCATTCTAACCTCATATAAATATTTATTTTTATTTTAAGCAGCAGTTGTTGCATTCGCCAACAAAAGAAAATTTGTTTTAGAAAATGTTAATATAATTTTATAACTTAAGGGGAAATTTTCTTCTTTCTGGCACTAAAAAAGAAGTAGCTTAAGTACTCGGGTACTTAAAGCAAAAGAGTTGCAGCTCAAGTTATGAAAGGGAATTTCAAATGGGAAATGAAAGGGAATTAATTTAATACACTCAAGAAAATGGAAAAAATAAGGTTAGCAAGAAGTTTGTAAGAGCAGAGAAATAAACAAATTTTAAACCAAGGAATTAAAAGGGAATAAATTAAAATTTTAATTTATATTCGAAAAGTTGAAATTTTAAGAAAATGTACGAAAAGTATTGAGTTTTTTTATATTTAAAAGAATTAAAATTGTTTAGGTAGAAATTAAGTTCGAAAAATCGAAATTAGGATTACAACTTATCATTTCTAAATTTTTAACGAAATAATGTTGAAATATACATTTTAAGAAATTTTTCTTAAGAAAATTGATAAAAAAATTTCGAAATTAATTTCGAATTTTCGGAATCAGCCTAAAGTTTACGTTTTTAATATTTAATCAGGAATAACCTCAAAAAATAACTAACTAACTACTAACTAACTAACTAACTAACTAACTACTAACTAACTAACTAACTAACTAACTAACTAACTAACTAACTAACTAACTAACTAACTAACTACTAACTAACTAACTAACTAACTAACTAACTAACTAACTACTAACTAACTAACTAACTAACTAACTAACTAACTAACTAACTAACTAACTAACTAACTAACTAACTAACTAACTAACTAACTAACTACTAACTAACTAACTAACTACTAACTAACTAACTAACTAACTAACTAACTAACTAACTAACTAACTAACTAACTAACTAACTAACTAACTAACTAACTAACTAACTAACTAACTAACTAACTAACTAACTAACTAACTAACTAACTAACTAACTAACTAACTAACTAAATAACTAACTAACTAACTAACTAAAATTGGATCTTCGCTCCGGAAAGAACTTCGGCTACAGTCGAACTGTTACAACAACAACCGAGTAAATATAAATTCGAATTTAATTTAATTTTCAAAATTAAGGTCGAATTTTCGTAAATAAATTAAAATATTAAAAAGAAATTGTTAATTAGTTGATTTTTAAAAAAGAATTTAGACAATTGGCATTTGTTCTTTAAAACTTAATTTTCGCAATTAAGTTCGAATTTTCGGAAATAGTTCGAAATGCTGAAAACTGTTAAAATTACTCGATTTTCACAAAAAATGTAATAATAAACAGTTTTGCTATAAAACACAATTTTCGAAGTTAGGTTCGAATTTTCGAAAATAGTTTGAAATTTTGATAACTGTTCGCTTACTATTAAAATTACATAATTTTCACAAAAAACTTAAAAAGTAGCATTTTCGCTTAAAATTTAAATTTTCGAAATTAAGTTTGAATTTTTGAAAATAAGCTAAAAATGCTAAATTTTCAATATTAATGAAAAAAATTTAAAAATGATATTCGTTTAATTTTTTCTTAAGAAAAATTAAATTAAATTTAAAGGAAATGTTTAAAGTTTGCACAGATTTTTAAATGTGAAATTAAGTTTATCAACATCGAACTTATATCAGAGACAGAGAGTCTTAATCAAATACTATTCTTCAAATACAAACATTTTTCTAACAACAAATATAAAATTTTTGGAATAAGAATTAAATTTTCGCAATTAAGTTCGAAAGCACATCAAAAAACTGTTATCATAATTTTGATACCTTTTATTCTCAAATCTTCAACAATTTCCTTATTTTCTTTTTCATAATAAGAAAAACACAATTGATTACTTAAACAAACTCCTTTTCATTTAATTTCACAAAACACCTGGCTCATTAAAAGCTATTTAACAATATTTATTTGCTTTTATGCCACAGCCTATTTTATAAAAACAATCTTTGTATTGCCTACATTAAGGCTAAATAAATATAAAGCAAAAGAAAAACACAAGCTGCTCCTTAGAAATAAAAGAAAAACTAAACATATATGAATGAATAAAAGCAAATAATGACAGTAAAGAAATTCCAATGAATATAACTATTAATTAAAATAAATCACCACTTAAAAGAAGAAAAGCCAACAATTTAATCAACACTTGACACTTTTATGTTTAACTTTCTTTCTTTATTTATTTCTTACTTGTTTTCATTCTTAGTTTTCCCTTTATTTCTTTTTAAAAAGCAGTTTTATTTGTTATTTGCTTTTATTTCTTGTCTAAAACAAAAAGCTTTAAATAGCAATAAAACATATGCAGAAAAGTATAGAGGGTTTTTAGGCGCTTGTAAAAGGCTATAAAACAAACTATCCAACATACAGCAACAGCAACAAAAACAACAAATCAGCAGTTTTAGCACCAGCCATAAAATCACATGGCAAATTGTAAACATATTAAGTAAAACGTTTACAATTAAACCGGCATTTACAGATAGTTGTTAAACAAATACAAAAAAGGGGGTTTGTGTTGTTTGCTTGGGCAGCTATTTCCTACTTCCCTAAAGTCCCTTATCTTTAAAGAAAAACAGCAAAACACAGAGAGCTAGAATATCCAAAGGGAAAGAGTAAGAAAGAGAAAGCGGGAGGGCAAGTACAACATATTCACCTCATTGAAGTTTACATAAAGGAAGTAAACAAAAATACAACGTGTTTAAACAAAATTGGAAAAAGAATCCAAAGCGAGAGAGAGAGAGCTTTCCAATTCACCTTGTTGTAATTCACCTCAAATGTAATCTCCTTATTCTCTTAATTCTTTGCAAAAAAAAAGCCGGCTTTGCATATTATCTTTCGTTTTGTTTATTACCTATTGCATACTTTCAGGCGTTTTATATATACAATTTGTAAAAACAGCTAGTAAATTTATTTTTATATGACGTTGCTTTTGCTGCATGTGTGTTAATTCTTTTTTTGTTTCTACTTTTTTGTTAAATTTTTCTTTTGTCCGCTGTGCCAACACTGGGTGGGAGTTCAACAGATTCTTGTAATTCTTGCTTTATATGTGAGTATATTTTTTTGTTATTTTTATTACATTTTATTTTACTATTTCTGTGTTTTATAAACATAATATTTATGAACCCTTATGTAGCATATATATTTTTTATGAAAGCACCCTCTTGTTATCGTCGTCAAAACACTCACACAACATGCATGTTACAACATGTTTTTTCATACAAATTTTTTTTTCTATTTTACTTTATGAATTGTGTTAAGCAGGGACAGACTGTTGATATTTTTGTACATTTCTATTATTTGTTGTTTGGGGGAGTGAGTAGGTTTTCGTTTGTGTGTGTTTGTCTAAATTGTAATAAAATGAAATTTGCATTTATTATGCTTTATTTATAAGGAATTATGGGAAAAATTTGTTATAAAAGTCTTAAGTTATAATAAAAAGATAAATTATAATAAATTAGTGAGCCTTAAGATATGCAACAAATTAGTTTAAACAGTAAACAAGTTTTATATATTAGTTTTAGTTCAGTTCTAGTTCAGTTCTAGTTCAATTCTAGTACAGTTCTAGTTCAGTTCTAGTTCAGTTCTAGTTCAGTTCTAGTTCAGTTCTAGTTGAGTTCTAGTTGAGTTCTAGTTCAGTTCTAGTTCAGTTCTAGTTCAGTTCTAGTTCAGTTCTAGTTCAGTTCTAGTTCAGTTCTAGTTCAGTTCTAGTTCAGTTCTAGTTCAGTTCTAGTTCAGTTCTAGTTCAGTTCTAGTTCAGTTCTAGTTCAGTTCTAGTTCAGTTCTAGTTCAGTTCTAGTTCAGTTCTAGTTCAGTTCTAGTTCAGTTCTAGTTCAGTTCTAGTTCAGTTCTAGTTCAGTTCTAGTTCAGTTCTAGTTCAGTTCTAGTTCAGTTCTAGTTCAGTTCTAGTTCAGTTCTAGTTCAGTTCTAGTTCAGTTCTAGTTCAGTTCTAGTTCAGTTCTAGTTCAGTTCTAGTTCAGTTCTATTCAGTTCTAGTTCAGTTCTAGTTCAGTTCTAGTTC